GAAACAGACACCTACCTGGAAATCTAAGACTGTAAGTGAGATGTCACAAAAAAAAGCAGTGGCATCTACTCACGTGCTTATCCATTAAGGCGGAAAAAAAATAAAAAGGTGGGAGGTTGAAGTAAAGCCAGCCACACTTCTGTGAAAGTTGTTTTATTTATGTTATCTTTAATCGTCTTTCTAAGACTGTTGAAATTATAGCACAAAACTAGGAATGTATTGTTTGTTGTCTGTACTTATAGTATTCATTCATGAGGGTTACTTCTGTGTTACTAGTTGGGTTGGATGCAAGCTGGTGTCATGCAGCTGTCGAGTGGTGTGTGAGTGCCACAGCTGGTAAGAAGAGAGGCTGGCTGTAGCTCCTCTGAGGGGAGAAGGGCTTTGTGCTTCCTGATGAATGGATTCATTCAGAGTCAAAACAAATACAGGTGTCCACTCCTAATCTGAAACCCCAAAGGAAGGTAGAAGTGAAAATTGCAGTGTACCACAAGCTGCCTATGGATATATCTTTTTATTTCTAGCTCTTCTTTACTTGCTAGCCCTGAGGAACTTTTGCATTTGTATTGGATTAAAATTTGTGGAGCAAATGAGCACGGGTTCCCCAAGTAAAAACATCTTTTAGGGCATGTTACAAGCAAAGTTCCTTCACTGCAGCTCATAAACTGTTTGAAGCTTCTATTGTGGGCTATATTTTTCTCCAAGTGGGTAAGGCAGCTGCATTGGGGATTTTTTTGGTGGGTAAAATTTTCCTGCTGCAGCACAGCTTGGAATTGTGGGTGACTGCAACTTAATGTAATATCAAAGAGTATGGTATAGGAACAAATAAAACACTCAAAGAGAATATGCTGGTATTGATGCAAAAAAAAAAAAGAGGAATGAGTAGAAATGCTTCAAAAGTCTGAAGCTTTTATTTTTGGTTTGTGTTTGTTTGTGGTTTGTTTTGGATTGTTTTGGGGTGTTTTTTGAAACTATCAAAGCCTGTTTTGGATTTGTTTACCAGGCCTGTTTTGGTTCTCTTAAGATAAACTTCGGATTTTGCAATCAGTGATCCTGGCACAGAACTTTGAGCTCTGCTTGTTGAGAGAAGAATAGAAGAACAGCGTGACCTGCATTTCTATCTAGTTAGATGGGCTTCGGGGTCTCACGAGATACCAAGAGAATCCTAATTGTGAGGCAAACAAACTAGCTGGCTCCTATCTGGTGGATTTGCTTTTAGCTGAGGACATGTGTAAGACTAAGACTCATGAAATAATATAATATCCATCAAGATTGATGCAGGTACTTCAGCTATGACCAAAGCCCACCAGCTGACTGTGCAGGCTTCAGGAAGCTCCAGTTTGGAAAGCAGGGTAGGTTTTTACTACTCTATACCTCAGACTAAACTTTAGGATTTTTTTAATTTGTTTGACACAGTACAGACAGCAAATTCTGTAAGAAGAGGGACATCTGATCTCGATATATTATTTGGATTGAACATTACAAAAGATTGGGTAGGAGATATATGGGTATTGGGGAGAGGAGGAAAAGGATGGCAAGGAGTTGATCATCAATAGGTCTGATCAGTGTCTTGAGAAATTTGGAGGAGAGAACAAAAGGAGGAATTCATGTGTCTAAGTAAGCTAGAGAATTATGTAGGCCTCAGTCTTCTAATTTTAAACTATTTTTTTCTGTGCATTATTATACATATTAACGATAAAATGAAATTGAAATTATTGGTGCTGTTTTATAGCATTTTGTTCACTTTATTATGGACAACTTATATTTTAAGTTAGATAGAAAATACACAGGGGCAATCTTTGGAAGCTGAGGTACTTCATCAGTGGAGGAGGGGCAGATTATTCCATAAAAAATTCCAGAGGTCTAAGTTAGAGTTGCCTTTTGGTGATATGAATATTTTGTTAGTACTTCTTTGTTATTTGTATAAGCAGCTTAGATGTGATTTTTGTTCCGGTAAGTTGCAGTCTGGGAGAGTAAGGAGAAAAACAGGGGTGAAATCAGCATTGGAAAGCTGGTTGAAAGAATTGCCTGGAGAAGGGATTTGGGAAACTGCAGAAAGAAAAGAATTTCAAAAGTCAGCAAAGACAGAGCTGTTTGAAGCTGACTGGATGTTACCAGCTTCTGTGCTTGGCATCAGGCACCAACACACAGTACAAAATTTGAAATTAAAAATCATAGGGCTTCACTGCAGCAGTTTTCCAGTACTTGCCTGGGAGATGGGATATGAGAGTAGAAGATTGCCTGTGTCAGGAAAAAAACAGCTTTTGCTGTCTAGACCCTGTATTACCTGATAGGATCCATAAGCACCATTTTGACATTATGATAATTTCAGGCCTTCACAAGGAACAAAATATACTTAATCCTTTGATGAAGAAAGAAAAACTGAAATTCTTGGAGATACAGTTGATTTCTTGGAGAGCACCATTCCTCCCTCCTCAGTACACTGACACCCCAACTCCCATGTCTACTCAATATTCAGTCTTGCCAGGTTCCTTTTGATCATATCCTCTTCTGGCAAGGTACTTGGAACACAATTTCAACTCCAGGTGTTTTGTGATAGCTGATTGTCAAGCCAGTCTGTTGGGTCACTTTGTTCTCATAGTCTTTCTAATGTGTTCAGTGCATTGACAAACTTTCTTCATAAGAGCTTTATAAAATGATAATATTGTGCATTACCTGACATGTCATTAAATATCAGAACATCTTCCACCATGCAAGTCCTGAAGTCCATCACTAAGCTCAGAAACCAGGGCAGCTCTAAGAGTTCAATGACTTTTGTAAGGAACATAAGTGGTAGGAAAGCAGACAGGTTTGTAAGGAGTAACTTTTGTCTCTTACTTGTCTTCTGCTTCTTTTTAAAAATAGGACTGAAAACAGCAGCATCAGTAAGGAGACTGATCAGCTAAACTGAATATTGATTAGTTCCTGATGTGATAAAACTACACTTTCTCTGCTACTGCAATATTTTAATCATGTTTGTAGCATTTCAAACTGAACAGGTCTTGGTCAGCTGATTTAAATGCTTCGGCATTTATGATTTTGTCATGTGTGCTGTCTTCTGCCCTTCCCCCCCCGCCCTGACACTTTCCCTCCATTTTTGAATACATGCTTCTACTTTTCCTAATGTCAGGAAAATGAGAGCTTTTAGACTGGAAGCTTACTGCATCTCAGTATTAGATCTGCAATTGCCTAAAGGTTAAGTACTATAGGGAATGAATGGTTAAACTGCTCACAAGTGCCTTGCAACTAATTGCTGCTTCATCTCTGCTCTCTGTGTTTTGCAAAATAATTTTATCCACAATTAGCGTTTATTTTCAAGACATACTTGCAAACAAGTGGTGGTATTGTGCATACAGGTAGACTGCAATGTGTAGCATTTAGCACTGTAAGGAAACTCCTCATTTCTGAAAGCAGTTAACTGCAGTGGACATACATTTTCTTTTTAAAAAAGACTGCTTTTTCTATTCAGAGGGAGGAATACTCATTTGCATGGCACGGCATCATATTGCTCCTTGGAAGTGAAAAAGAATGTATTACCTTTAAGCAGAGCTGAAACAGACCTGGTATTTCAGCAAGAGCAAGCAAGCTAGGATTCCCTGCAAGCCTTCCTTTGATTTTTGTTTTCTTTTCATTTCAACAGCCTTTAGCAAGTATTTTCCTATTGTGTAAAGTTTTACTGTAATGAAAACATTAGAGTTCAAAAGTCAGGTATGTCTTGAACTTGCCATCAGGATCATGATGTGCCTTCAAGCTGTTTTAGTTTCTGGGGAGGCAGCAGTTGTTTCTAAAGACTTTGTGTGCCTGATATGAAACTTGGTGCTTATCCAGTAGTGGAAATACTGTCTCTGAGTATCGGTCAATTTGTTGACCCAAACTTTACAGTAAAGAGAAGTGGGTGTATAGTGTTTGTGGAAGAAGACATGCTTGCATAAAGTCACAGTGTCTCTGCTTGCTTTGACCAAGACATTGTTCCGTCTTGCATAGATTTTCCCTGTGTGAACTCAGGGCTGTCAACTGATGCAAAATTGGTCAGTTTGTGATGAGATTCTCATGTAAAAAGTGGAAAATGTGTTTGAGCTTGACTGTTCTGAGACTGATGATAGTAACCACAGTATTTTGGTTAGCACAGGCTTCTGATTAAGATCTTAAAAACTTGGTAGCATAGCTGTTATTTCAGCCTCATGACTGATCAAAGGGAGGAAGCTGTGGTACAAGTCTCAGAATGCCTTTGGCTGTTAAAAGCTTGTACTGAGCTCTTAGTGCTGGGTTTTGCATGCCTGCAGCTCTTAGTGCAAATCTGTTTTCTGCAGGGCAGGTAGGACAGATGGCTTGAAGTAGACTTCGAGAGGGCAGGAGGTTATGTTGTGCAGTACTAGAGGGATGTATTTAATATGCATCACTTCATCGCTGTGGTACAAGCAAGCTTGTCTTGCCTGTCGGAGACAAAGCCTTTGCTTTGTATTTCTGTCATAGCATTTCTAGTATATGCCATTTAACAGACTGCCTTTAGCAGTAACAGCTTTGTAGATTCATAGCAAGCATTTTGTTTGTGCAAAGACTTGGAACTTGACAGAATGCACACTCTTAGCCAGCAGATTCATTATTTATAGCAGAGATGCTGACAGGTAGAAAAGCAAATGGGGGTCTCATGTTTCAACTGGGAGGCATATGTGTTATCAACTTCATCCATAAAGTAGTCCCTTTTTAAAATAGTATGGTATGCCTAGGGGTGAAATATGCTCATGGAACCTTTGGTTCTTATTCACGTAGTTCTGCAGGAAATGCTTGTTATGTCATGTGTATGTGTACAGAAATAAGCAAGTATACCTGTGTGTATGTTTGTATCTCTGGGAGGCAGTCAGGTATTTTAATTCAGTCAGTAATTGCAACATGCTGGACTCTGCTTCCATATATCTTGAGTTACATTGTGAAACACAGATGGGGGCTTCTACGATTTGCTGATCTGGTCACTGTTTTCTTTTTTTGTTTTGCTTTTTTCTTAGGGTAATAAATGCAGGGAAGAGCACGCACAATGAAGATCAAGCCAGCTGTGAAGTCCTCTTTGTCAAGAAAAAAGCTGGAGGCAGTAATTCTACACCAAACAAGAACTCTTCAACAAAACGGAGGTCATCGCTGCCCAATGGAGAAGGTCTCCAGCTGAAAGACAATTCAGTAAGCAGACTTGTGTATCTTGTCAGAGAAGAAACACAAAAAAAATATAAAAGTATGTAGGAATATGGCACTGAAAGGTGTTTTCTGAATATTTTGTATCTTTTCAGTTACCTCTTATTGATTATCTCTGCTTAAATGCAGAACATTTCACTGTATTTTTCATAGCTCATCTACTTAATTTTTTTTGCATTGAAAAGTGCTCCTTGCATCTAAGATATTTAGTTTAAAGATGGTCAAAGGGATGCTCCTGGATTTTTCTGTTTCATTTCTGAAATACAATGTTGAGAAATTTGAAGATGAAGACAAGGGCTGGAGCATGTCTTCTGTGAGGACTGGCTGTGAGTTGGGGCTGTTCAGCCTTAAGAAGGGAGGCCTCCAGGGAGTCCTTAGACTGGCCATCCAGTACCTAAAGGGAATTGGAGAGGAGCTTTCACAACATCCTGTAGTGACAGGAGAAGGAGTAAGGACATCAAACTAGTAGAGGGTTTAGATTACATATTAGGCAGAAATTCTTCATTGTGGGGGTGGTGAGGCACTGGAACAGGTTGCCCAGAGAAGTTTGGCCAGGTTGGATGAGATTTTGAGCAGCCTGGTCTAGTGGAAGGTGTTCCTGCCCATGGCAGAGGGGTTGGAACCAGATCATCATTAAAGTATCTTTCATCCCAAACCATTCTATGGTTCTGTAATTAATACAGAATTAATTTATACAGAAATAATTTATACATGGTGCCACAAAATGACAGGTCAACTTCCATCTGCTCTGAGTTTCGGCACTGTCATGTAGGCACATTTGCACTACATGGAGCTCTGTGGACACTGCACTGGCAGCTGTTTTCACTGTGCCTACACAGGGGTCAGGTAAAGACCTATGTGAACCATGTAGGTTAATATAGGCTGTTAAAATGTGTCTTATATCTAAGCCACTAAACCTCATCTTCAGCCAACATTGGAAAGACACTGTGTTCTCTAATTTAATCAACTACTAAAGCAGGATAACCTTCTGGTTTATGCAGGTAGAGTAAGGTCATCCAGTACACAAAATTCAGTGATTTTTGCAGACTGTAGCTTCTCTTATTTGTGTGAAGTGTGGTGTATGCCATACACTTGTCTACTGGCAGTCATCTGCTATTTTTCATCTGTCTTGTTTCCTGACTGGCTAATTACTTCATCTGCTCTTTAAGCATGAGCTCAGTCTCCAGCAGTCATTGATAGTGTGTGTTCAATTCCAGCATTTCACCGTGTAATACTAAATGCCCTGTCTGAATGCTGATTATGATGTGAATATGCTGCATTCCTGCTGCTGGAGAACACAGGTTGTCCCTAAGTGATAATTAGTTTTTCAGTGGACTGTGTCTATTTTAAATCAGATGGTGGTTAGCAGTCTGCTTTAGTCTCTCTCCCAGAATTGGCTTGCTGTACCTGATGGCTGCAGGGTTCATTGGGGTCCTGAGAAACAAGTATTCCTCTTGTAATGTGTCCCTCCCAGCCTCTTGCTCCTCCAGTTCTGTTTCATACTTCATTGCTGCAGCATTTTCAAACTGACAGGTTCTCAGGGTTTGCAAATGGCTCTGTTCTTTCCTCTTTAAAATCTTTCTTTAAATCGTGTTTCAATTCCTGTGTGCTGATATTCCTCATTGTATTCAGACAGTCATGATTTCTTTTTTCAAGTACATTTTTGCAAACTTTTTGTGCCCAGGATTTGCCCAGAACTTTTTGTGCCCAGAACTTGCTGGGACTAGGAGCTCTACATATAGTCATGCAAAGCAAAACAGAATTTGTTTTAATTAGTTGTGTTTTTAAAAATCTTTCCTAGAAAGTCCATGCAACTGCCTGCTGTTGGTTTCGGAAGATGCTTGGTTTCAGGAGTGTATTTAACTTTTGTATGCATTAATTATGTTTCATGAAGCAAACATTTTGCCACAGTGCTTGTTTGTGTGTAGAAAATGCAACAAGACAATTGCCACTCTCATTGGTCCAGGTAATGGGTTTGTTTGACACTAAGGGTGACACTGTGCCATGCACACAGGCACACTGCAAAGACGCCTGTGCACACACCAGCCTGGGTGCACACATCTTGACGAGATGTGTGAGAAGAAAAGAGACATGAGATTTGAAGTGAAGAGATAAGAGATTTGGTCTCATACCGCATTGAAGTTCCAGACCTGTTGTGTGAGATACGTGGTCAGGGGCCTCTGCATCTGGGATATGGGCAAATGTAACTGTCCTGAATTTGTTTTTGCATATTTTGGAGGCTTGCATGTGACATAAAAATCTTCGTAGCATTGTTTCACAAAGCCCAATTAACTTCCAGTGTCAAAAGCTTCTCAGGAGCAAAAGCCATGGTTCATCACCTTCTTCAGAAGGAACTTTTTTCCAAACATTAAATAGTCAATAAGATTAGATTGCATTAAAAAATAAGGATCTAAAATAATTTTGTTATTGGAAAGGCATCTTAACTAACCTTGATATTATCCATTGTTACAGTTGTACTGTTGCAGTAATGTAATGGTAGGGTCAATAAACTGCATGTTTTTAAAAGCTGCTCTTTTTATCCATTTGATATTTCATGATTGTAAGTAAATATCTCCTCAGTAAATATCTACTTACAAAGAGTTTATGAGAAGAATCTCATGGAATGTTCTGATTTTTCTTTCTCTCTTTGCTAGTGTATTTCCTAGTTTAATTCTGTATCTTTCATCTTGATTTTGGAAGAAACAGACACTCCCTTTCAAGTTTCTTGAGAGAAACACTTAGTTCAAATCTTCTGTTCTTGATTCTATTTCTGACATATTTTGACCAAAAAGGAGCATAAGATCGAAAGTCAGGAGCCAGCTGATCCATATAATAGAGTATACTGTTTTCTAGTTACTTGTTACTTTGTTCTTTATATGTTCTGTTTTTATCTACAGATTTATTTCTTTTTCTGCATGGCACTAGAATAAGTGCTGTCACACCTATTATTTAGTTGTGGAAAACCTATATTAGAGCACAGCTTGTGTATTTAATTCTGTAGTATATTTTCCCAAAACAGGCAGCATATTCCTGGAGAAAGTTTTCTACTAGAGGGCAGTCTTACACTAGCAGTTAGTAGGATTTTTTCCTTGCTACATCTTTTGGTGGTTGAATAGATCTAAAAAGAGGGAGGAAAAAAGCACATGTTTATGTTGTGTCATGTTTTTGTGTTTTTGTACTGTGAGGTATAATACCCCTCACACAGCACTGTTTGCAGATATTTTTCAAGGAGTATATGAGTTTCATGGTAAATGTGATGAGGGTGCAACTTAATTTCTATGAAAAAAATTAGAAATACTGGCTTTAGACATTACAGTGAATGATAGACTGTCATCCCATGAAATATTTAGTAAGAAAGCTAGAGGCTAAATAGTGTGAATACCTCACAGGGAAATCCCACTGTAACACACAATTTGAAATTGTCTGTCATTAAGCACCTTGCAGAAGGAAAAAGCAATGAGGCAAGAAGTTCATTGAAAGAATTTTTTTATAGTGTGGAGCACCAGGGAAATAGGCACTGAAATTTAAACTTTATATAGCAGAATCCTTTTCATCATCCTCAGATTTTTCTTTTTTTCCACAGACTCTTTGAGAATGGCATGTGCCATCTTTTCTCCTGCTTTTTGGGAAGTTTGTGAAACATCAGCTACATCTGAGACTTGTATGATTGTTGGTTAGTGCTAACCCCATCAATCTAGCCCTGTGCTTTGAAAAAGCAGCAGAAGGGAGTTGGAGGTCCATGTGTTGTCCACACAAGTTGACTGCCATTATCATGGTCCTGACTCTCCACATGGACTTCCAGGGGTGGAAAGGAAGAGGTGGTAGGCCAGAAATGCAGAAATGGAGAAGTGAACATTTCTTTAACCCCAACACACACAAAAAATCCTGGGAAGTCTATTAAATAGCATAAACATGGTTTTCTTCTTGAAAGGGTGGGTAATAAAATGAGAAGAGCAGTGAAAGGAAAGACTCTCTAAATTCAACCCTAAGTTAATTCTGTCCTCTTTTCCCCCATCCCACTCCATTGCTGCTTGATTAATCATATCTCCTGTCTGTCCCCATTCAAGAACATTCATGTTAAATAGCACATCTTTTTCATTTGTACTAATTTTAAATGCCTTTAACTACAGAGTACCTTCATGATGAATGCTGAAAACCATCAGCAAGCAAAATGGAAACCCTATGCCAGCATATTGTCATAGTGATAATCAGGCTGCAGAACTTAATGTAATGCATTATTAATTGTCATTGTAATGTGAGGATGCATAATTACTAATTCTGCAGTTTTCTTTGCCACAAATCTAGGATAGTGTGTGTGGCACAAGACTGGTAGCCTACCACAGGCAGCTGAACATACTTGTAACATGAGGAGGCTTTTCTCTGAGGATTAAGGTAGCAATTGCTGGTCCAGCTCAGATTTAATGAGAACTCAAGTTGCACTCTTAAGTGTTTTGTGACTGTAGTTCATATCTGGAATAATAATAGTCAGGGTAGGTTGTAGTTCCCAGAATAAATATTTAGTGGCAACTTTATTTATTTGCCTGTTTGAAATTAGCTCCATAACAACAATCTGAAGGTTTGCAATGTAAGACAGCTGCCTAGCTTACCTCAAAAGCATGTCCCAAATTGATCACTAGCTATTGCTAAGGTTTTTCCCTTTTTTTTTTCCTTCATATAATTGAGCTCAAATTATGTATATATATGCAATTTCTCTCATGATTTCTTGTTTGTTGCTTGACCCAAAACTTTGCATGTCTTAATTATATTTTACAATTGCAAAACCCAGGAGAATCCTGAACCTTCCTGAAAGCTAAGTCAGCAGTTGAGGAGCCTGAAGCTTATTAAATTTCCTAGTACCTTCTGGAAATTAATTGTAAGGTCAGTGCAGTGAAGGGTTTCTTTCCTCTTCATGTTTCTGGTAGTTATTCAGCCTGTTGTTAAGCCAGAATCTTTTGAATGAAAATCTAAAATAAATCATTGTGGTGACTGACCACACTCCTATTTGAGGATTCTGTCTAAATAAAAGAAGAAATGAAGACTGGTGTTTGAAAGACTACTTTTGGCAGAATACTGACAGTGCTAGTAAAAATATATGTCCTGTTCTCTGAGTTTGCAGAATGTCAGTTCTTTTTAGGAAGAAGTTCAAGCTCCGAAATGTAAAAGAGGACAAACAGCAATGCAGGAACACATGAAAACAAGTAATCACTTGGCAGCTGCAGAGGTCGTCTCAGCTGTGTGAGGAAAAGCATGCACTTTTCTGTGCCTTTTGCCTCATCTGTGTGCCCTGACTGCTGGCCCTTGTTTGTTCACTGAGTCACTGCTTTAGTTGCATCTATTTTTAATTGTCATTGAATTGGTATGGTTTTGGGGAATTAATTTTTTTTAAATAGGAGCTGTTTTTATTCTCAGGGTGGGGAAAAATAGTTTGTTTTTTCTTCCTTTTTTAGACAGCTAATAGGTTATCTGTTGTTTTCCTCTTTGCTAGTTCAAAAGTAAATGGAGCTTTGTAGGAATACACAGAAGTTTTTCAAGACTAATATTTAGGTTACAGTAATGCCTGCAGATCCCAACTGAAGTTAAGGCCCTAGAGCATCTCACACAGAATGTCTGTATGAGAGCAGCATTATGGTAGTCATTTCCTCTGAGTGCTTAGAATACAGACTTCACAGTTATCCAGAGTGCTTCTGCTGTTGCTAGGGAGAAATAAATCTACTTTGGAATGAAATGTGCATAGTTTGAAAATGCAGGGGGTTTTCTGTATGCCCAATATAAGGGCAATTTAGAGAACTATCTTGGAGGTGTGCAGTGTAGATGTCTGAACTTAGCTGAACTGGAAGCAACATCCTCTTTGATCAAGAATTACTACGCCAAAAAGGACAAAATCAGTGGACCACCACTCTTGATGTGGCCATGCCATGGTGACATGTGTCAGTGAGTGTGTGAGAATACAACTCAGGTCCATGTGAAGTTCTCTGTCCAAATTAGTGCTGCCCATTGGCTTAGAGGAAATAAGTGGAAACATTTCAATTTACCTTTTTGTTTGGGGCTATTTTCATCTCTTTTAAAGCACTCCAGTCTCATCTTTATTTAACTCCCAAACTCACAGGAGGCTTGATCAGTGTAAGACATATCCAGCGTTGAGATCATAACAGAGTAAATTGTGTAAATAACTGTTCTTCTCCATCTTTTGAAAAGCTGCAACACAGACTTTGCTGGGGGATTTTCTTTGGAGAACTCATGAAAATGGAGTGCAGATTAAACTTGTTCAATTATAAGTTTCTGTTCCAGTTTGGGGGCAAGGGGAGAACAATGACAAAACATCTTCTTCCTTTTCAATATTAAAATATTTCAGTCTCAGTCAGAGTTGAAATGCCTTGGGGATTTTTCCCCCCAAAGAGAGCACATTTCCAAAGAAGTAGCACCTTTAAAGTACATGAGGACAAAAACTGTGGAAGCATTATCCATGGTACATCATAACATGGATTTTGGCCAGGGAGACAAACTCTTAAGAGAAGAATGGGAGCAGAAGTGGTTTGATATACAAATCCCAGGACTCAAAGTGTTGTCATTTTGAATAAATAGTTTCAGTTCTCAGCTGAAACACTTTCACTTTGGAAAACTTGTTTCTGTTGGCAAAATACTTTACATGAATAGCCATCTATTTTTACAAGCAAGTTTTTAAGTTGCTAATCCTGTTAGCCGTTAAATATTACTTAGACAGATTTTTACAGCCAACTGTTGTGTGAACTTGGAGGGATTCTGGGCCCAGAGCAAGGTAGTACAACTGCCAGTCCTGCCTCCAGTTGGGAATTTTCACAAGAGGCTTTTTGAGGAATTTACCAGGCTGGGTAAGTGCAGGGGGAGAGGGGGGTAGTTTCTGGCTAAGGAACCGTGTACAGAAATGTGGACACTTGCTGGGTTTTCAGCATTCTAGGATATATCCTGCTTACTTTACTGTAGTAAGTAAACAGTACTTTAGGACAATACCCCCTTATCACAGCATTTCAGTAATGAAATGAAGAGTGCATGAGGGACTAAGGAATTCCTCTTGGAGGAGCTCTCTGCTGTGTAGGTGACTATGCTGTTGATGCTTTGGTTAAGAATATATTTGAACTTTACCACATCAGCAATGCTGTATGCAAAAAAAAATAAAAACCTCGACTTTTATGTGATTTTTTTTATCATGGCACCTTAGTGGAGCAGCTGAAACAGCAGAAAGTAAAAGGAGCTGCAGTTCACAGCCCTGTCCGTAAATTTGAAATAGGCAGTGCTTTGAGGTGCTGGGATGCAGGTGGTACCTAGACTTTATGCTGATCTGTAGTGTGAGAGAGCAGTGTTCAGGTGAACAAAACAAATCACGTCTGTCATCCTAAATTAGACCACAGTGCGACATACACATGTAATTTTGAGGTTCTTTGATTGCAGTGAGATCTAGGTTACTCTTTCTTATTATGAGGTATTTTACAACAGTATAGCTTCATTCCTGTCCCTTGCAAAGTTGTTTCTTTCTAAATCTGTATTAGTCCACCCATGTCCAACTTGCAAGGCAGCCACACTAACAGCTGTTTCTGCATAGCTGGGAAAAGGTGCAGGATTAAAAGAAATGGAGGGGAAAGGAAAGACAGGAAAGACTCTTTCCCTATGCTGCTGCCAAATATGCTGTCATGCAAAGATGGCTATCATCAAGCCTTAAATGGTTACTTGAGGATTGCTAAATGAATCAAATTCATTTGGTGAAAATGTTGAGGTTAGTAAGAGTATGGCTCCTTGGTATTTTCCAGGCATGTTGGAGCTTGTGGTGCCCAGAGGTACTCTGCCTCCAGCCCTTGGTTAACACCCTGTCTAAGCAATAGGGTATCCCACCATTTCCAGTACTATACAGGAAACTTTTTAGGGGATTGTGAAGAACCAGGCAGTGAACAGAGGCTAGATCAGATGAAGTGCAGCTGTCATCCTCGAGGACCTCTGTGCTGGTGCTGTTTCCTGGGCTGGCACTGGCAGGGAAAGCCTGAGTTGTCCTATCTGCGATCATGGATGGACCTTATCTACCAATTGTGGAAGTGGAGCTCACATTTGTTGCTGGATGTCAAACTGAGGTCCTTTGTCTCATGCCTAGTAAAAAAAGGTCTGTTAAGTATGAGGTGCTGTCTTGTGTAGAATTTTGATCTTTCATTATGTATTCAAATGCTATTCTTCTATAAACTATGATGGCTGTAAGGTAAGAAAGATTGTAAGTTCAGCCTTTCTTATTCCTTTTTTTTTTTCTTGGTCTTTTTTTTTTTTTAAGAGGTTAAGGAAAAGAAAACATGGTAGGAATGCGTGGTAAAAATAAGCATCTCTTCTTTCAGCCAGAGTTTTACTGACACTGTGGATATTTCTGCATTTCAGAAAGAATGGTACCTCTGGGAAAGTTTTCTGTGTTTCACCTGCTGCCTCTGTGCTACTAGTCACCTCGCTCACAACTGTGTAACAGTGACCATCTCTTTGCCTTCCCTTTCTCCCCCTCTTGCTTCTCCAGGACACTGATGGGATCAACCTGTACTACTGGTCCTTGTTTGATGGACACGCTGGGTCAGGGGCAGCTGTGGTCGCTTCCAAACTGCTGCAGCACCATATCCTGGAGCAGCTGCAGGAGATTGTGGACATCCTGAGGAACACAGCCGTCCTCCCACCCACCTGCCTGGGAGAGGAGCCTGACAACCCATCCACCAACAGCAGGACACTGACACGGGCGGCCTCCCTGCGTGGTGGTGTGGGAGCCCCGGGCTCGCCCAGCACACCTCCAACACGCTTCTTCACTGAGAAGAAGATCCCACATGAGTGCCTGGTTATTGGGGCCATAGAAAGTGCATTCAAGGAAATGGTATGTATGTCTCACAGCTCTGAAGTCCTTGTTGTTTACATTGAGTCACATGACCTGGAGATGATGATGATTTAGAGGGTTTTTTTTTTTTTTTTTTTTTTTTTTTTTCTCCTTTTCATTGCTTTAACACCATCTGAGTGTGAACAGAACTGTTTAAGAGCCTCAACACCTTACCAGGTACATCCCTGTGAGGCAGGAGCTGCATCTTAACTCCCAAGTAGCACTGTGGCAATGGTAATGAATTACGTGAATTTTTGATGTATTATGCTCTACTTTTTAATTTTCTTCTCCCCCTCCTTTTATAAGATAAAGATCAGTATTTTTTACCTGCCTTACAGTGCAGGTTTCAGCACTGGCAGTTGTTACCAGGCTGAGTATATGGGCATACACTTTATAAAGTCTTGTTGCCATACCAGAGCAGCAGCAAAGGCTGCTAGGTCCAATGACCCCTAGCTCACACAGGTGTTGGAGCAGCTGACTGTAGAGTGTCTGCCGCTCTTCACTGAGGCAGATTTTGTGGGTGAGTGGGGCATGAAGTTCATTCCAACCACCCACTTGATTTCTATACAGCCTGAACAACTGTCAGGAAGTCACGACCCTATGGGAACAGAATATCCATCTATTTCCCTATGGAAGCTGTTTTTTCCTCTTCTGTAGTGGATGTAGTTCCTCCTTCACAACTTCCCCCTTCACTTCTCCACATTACTGAAAGTCATTCTTGTCAGGCAGAGCAAAGATTTGGCCTGCCAGCAAGTACATGTGGATCAGGTATTGGGAGGTCTGATACTATTAATTTTTTTCTTTTTTTTTTTAATTTTGTTGCTGTAGTTTTCAGAAAAGCCTTATTTGAAAAGTACTTTGAGCATTTCAGTGTTTCCCAGTGGTTTTATTTGTTGTCTGAAAAGAAATATCTGATCATCGTTTTTCCTGATGTATGTGAATTTTGTCCAGTATATGCATTTAATTAGTGACAGTTGTTGTTACAAATAGTATTTCACTTTGAGTTCTGAATAACAATTATCTTTTGCTGGATTGTTCTTTCTTCCCAAGGAAGTGCAGGCAAGCAGACCCACCAACTGAGTTTGGACTTGCAGGTGGGTAGGTCCAGGAGCAGCATTCACAGCCGTAGCTTAGGCATACTTCAGTGGGGGTTGTCCAGGCAGATTTATGCACTGTGGGTAGTGGGCTCAGTTTCTGCTAAATGAAAAGAAAGAGGAGGATGCATTAAAATCTGTTAGTTTAGCACACCTTTTCAGAAAGGGAGGACTAGATTGCTCCCTTCTTCGTAGAGAAAAGAGAGAGAAGATGACTAGGCCCATGCACTGTGCCTGAGTTCAGAGCATGCCTAAGAGGAATACAAATTTTGTGCTTCACTTGGTGTAATTTTGAGGCCAGAAGTGTGCCAGGCTCTAAGAGTGTGACACGATTCTCTCCTGTTGAAACTGTCTCCAAGAGCAGGAGAGATGAGAAGTGGAGTTTTGTGGCACTGGGCAGTGAAAGTAACAGTATGGAAGGGCCGTTTCAAGTACTCTGTCTCTCTTAGGAGAGCTGCATGTGTGTTACCCATTGCTGCCTTCCTGAATGTGTCTGAGTGAATAGGGCTGTTATTGCACTGCTTTATTTTGATTTCACGTCTCACCAGGTGTTCACACAGAAGACCATCCCAGCTTATGTTCAGGGATCTGGTTGTAAGGGCTTTTGTGGTTAGGGGTTGACAAATACAGAAAAGCTGGATAACTCACAACAGTTATGGTGTTCAGGTATTCCTTGTATAGTTCATAATAATCTGTTCTCTCTGTTTCTAAACAGAGATCTGTTTCTAAACTGAACTAAATATCTTCCTCCCTGCATCTTTGTTCATATACTACAGATCCAGTATCTTAATTCCCACTTGCTTTTTTATTAGAGGGCTGAAGGTCATCATTGTCTTTGATAAACAAATGACTACCACAATGCAATGTACTTTCAGCATAAAGTTCTACAGGAAAGATTAAAAAATGGTCAGCATAAATAAAGTAGATAATTAAACTGTTTCTACTTTGAGCTCTGAAGGGAATTTTCCACTTATACTTGGTTTAGGCTAAAGAGTGCTTTCTTTCATCTGTGTAAGGGAGCAATTCATAAAATCAACATTTCTGTGTCTCATCTGAGCTTGCAGTGCTTGATCTTCCTCCTGCCTCTATTTAACTTCCTGCTAGCTTATACTCCATTTAGTCTTTGCATGGAGACTTTGGGCCTCTTCCACAGCACATTGTTTAATCAGTCCTTGCTTGTACTGGAACGTCATGGGTATTGTTGGGCTAGGTCAGCGCAGTCGAGATGTGCAGCATGTACAAGGGTTTTGTGCCAGCAGAGTGGATCAGTTTACCTGGCACTTGGTGAAAGCTCAGGTTTCCCGGACACATTGGCAGGCTTCTTGGTGGTTTTTCCTGAAATACCAATTGCTGCAAAGGATTCTTGTGAACCGAGTGAAAATAATGAGTAGATAAAGATACTTTTTTTAAAGAGTCTGACCTGATAGGTTTATCTAATGAGGGCTTTGTCCCCTTTTCCTGGGAGCATTTAGTATACCATTATTTTTTCCCGCAACTTGCTTTTGAATTTTAGTTAAGGTCTCCTTGTTTTTGCCTCAAGTCTCAAATAAAATGCAATCCATGGCTTTCAAAAGGCTTTTAAAAATTATTTTTCCTTATTTGATGTGGGTTTTTGGACAGTTTTTGTCTTGTCCAGGTACATGCAGCTACATGGAGTAAAATACTGTGGAAAGCCAACACAAATTGTCATTGCCTAACTTAGACATTTAGCAATTAAATTGTCCCCACTTTGAAGTACGTCTAAGTGATGTTTTCTTTGTTGAAACTGGGATTAGCAAGTTTGTGCTGTGTTTCCAGATAATTCAATGCCCTGTCTAAAAACCAGTGAATGTCAGTAATTGTCAGTATCACAATTGTTCTAGTTAAAAGGAAATAAACAAGCTCAAGTTCTGAAGGTGTCATAAATCAAATCCTCCAATTTTCATCTGTTGAGTTTTAAGATGTGCATTTATAGATTCAGTTCAAAGGAGCCAGGAGGAATGCTTCCAAGTGCAGTTCAATATTGGATAGAAACATCAAATTATAGTCCTTTCCCTGTATTTAACCCTGTGTACATGTGTGATGTACGTATTTGCAAGAAAGGTTAAGGGGAGAGAGCACCTATTCTACTCTGAACCCCATTTAATTTTAGATGGGGAAAAAATGGCAGAGAAGTAGTCTGTATGATTTATTGGGAGGTTTATATTTGCATTCATTGTATCATGATTTCTTATTTATTGAGTTTTTTTAACTTAAATCTAGACAGGTGTTTTTTTCTATATTGATGCCATTTTAATTAATTGAACAGTCTTGAGAGAATGGTGTGAGTTGTACAAGTTTGCTTTTTTAAAAGTTTCCCCTCATTATATAGCCAGTAGACTTGAGAGTTTAAATAGAATTACAGACATTTGATGTAAAGTATGCTAAGGAGTTAATTTTATGTTTATGCCTTCTGAAACTTTTTTTAAAATCAAATACCTAATACTATGTGTGTAAAGTTGCTTTCTGTCATAGCGAGGTTGAGATCCTGGTGGAAAGGCTGCTGCTCTGAGGATAAGTTTAGATGAGAAGGGTGTGGGAAGAGTGTGGCCAGCAGGTTGAGAGAGGTGATTCCCCCTCTCTGCTCGGCCCTGGTGAGGCCACAGCTCAAGTGCTGTGTCCAGTTCTGGGCTCCTCAGTACAGGAACGAGGAGGAGCTACTGGAGAGTGTCCTGCACAGAGCAACAAAGATGATTGAGGGACTGGGGCATCTCTCTTGCGAGGAGAGATTGAGGCAGCTGGGCTGTTTAGTCTGGAGAAGACTGAGAGGGGATCTCATTAATGGACATAATTATCTGAAAGGTGGGTGTCAAGAGGATGGTGCCAGACTCTTTTCAGTGCTGCCCAGCAACAGGATGAGGAGCAACGACCATAAACGAAGCCACAGTAAATTTCATCTCAACCTGAGGAAGAACTTCACGCTGAGGGTGGCAGAGCACTGGAACAGGCTGCCCAGGGAGGTCGTGGGGTCTCCCTCTCTGCAGCCATTCCAAACCCACCTGGTTCCTGTAGGCGGCCGTGCCTCACGGGGGCTCCGCGGAGGTGGCGGCGGCCGGGAGCGGCGGCCGCTGCGCGCAGCTTCCGCCAGGTGGCAGGAGCGGCCCGCGCGCGGCTCTGAGGGGGCGGCCACTGCTCGTGGGGAGCCCGGCCCGGCCTCGCCCCAGCCCGCGGCTGTGCCGCCGCCTCGCCGCTGCCGGGCTCCGTGCGGAAAGCCGCCCTGCCCGCCCTCACCTGCTCCGTACGTCGCGGTGTCCTCTGCAGGCTGTGCTCCGCCCTCCCGCATCCCGCACCACGGAAGGGAGACCAGGCCTGGGGCAACCTTTGGGAGCACCTGCCACCCGCTGCAGTGCCTGTCCCGGCACGGACCGCAGGCCTCCGACTAAATTAACTGCTCCTTCGGGAAAAAAAACAAAAACAAACATCCCCCCCCCCAAAAAAAAAACAAACAAAAAACAAACAGGGAAAAACCCCCAAACAAACAGAAAACAAACCACCAAAAAACTTGCTCTGAAAGCAGAGGAAAGCTTTGTATATACTCTGCCTAGAATGAGCCCCTTTGCTCTCATATTTAGAGGCATTTTGTGGCTTCTGCCCATGTGTGTATTACTTTCCCAGCACCACTGTTATAAAGTATTTCATTAGAAGCCAATGTCTTTACATCAGAATGAGTTGGTGGCATTGGTGAGCTTAATTTTATTTTGCTTTATTTTTCCCCCCTCAAATCTTGTTGAGCTGTCAGAAAGCCTTGCCCTCTTTCCTTGCTGCTGAAAAAGAAAATGTCAAGTAGTGTATGTAATAGCGAATCATACATGGCACTCCAGGTACTCTGACAAGTCATGGTAGTAAATTGAAGTTCTAGATGGGAGAGCCCAACAACAGCAATGATTTGAGAAAATCCAGTATACTGATACAGTTTAAGTCCAGAAAATTCTGAAAAAAAGGCCCTAAGGATTTTCCATCTTCTTTCTTATAATAGATGCTTCTGACTTCTGCTTATTGAAAGAAATAAATTTTAATTCAGGAATTCCAGCACTTGCAAAATATATGTATGACAAAGCTGAAAACAGGTGAGGAACTGCACACTGTTTGAAGGTCTTGGAGGAGATTCTGAACTGTGGAAATGAGGGTTTCTTAAAATTCCTGGCAGTGCTTGAAAATCCATAGCATTTGTAAATTTAAGTTATTTTGATGGTTAGAAATGTCTGCTTCCTTTGAGCTCTTAAGCTTAATTAAGAAATATGTCGAAACCATGGGGAGGAGAATCAGCTTCTCTATGGGAAGATTAGGTAAAGAGGCACTTATAAAAGGTCTGTGTCTGTGACCAAAAGTTCTGCAAGATATGATTTCTAGCTTGGAGGTGTTTTTCTCCTGGTCCCCACCCCCTGCCCCCCCAAAAAAAGTTGGTGAGTGCAGTAGAACCTGTGTCCCTGTGGCAGCCATGTGCAGTTTGCCCACAGAGCTGAGGATGGCCCGCTGGGACAGCACCTCAGCACTGTGTCCATGGCACAAATGGGATGTACATGCATTGACCAGCGAGGAGTCAGCGACTTATTTGTGACAGGCATCTCTGCCCACTGGCTCAGGACAGTGCTCGAGTGCTGCTGAGCATCTGTGCTGCTGCCTCAGGTCATCTCCCTCCCATGAAATTTGTAGGAGATAAAGCATGGGACAGTGACTTCCTCCCACCTCTGCGGATTTTTAGTCAGTCTGCAGCTGTCATTTAAAAAAACACATGTAGTGTTTTTCTTCAGATAAATTTAGCTCTAAAATAAAACTCCAAATTCCATACCTCAAAGCATGAATAGCTTGTTTGTTGCTCAGTGCAGATATGAAAATGGCTGAAGTATAGAGGTGTGTATATGCACACAAACAGAGGAAATCATATATTCATAATAAAAACCACATGTAAGTAGGCAGGGTTTAGCTGGAAAAGATCTGCCAATACTTGCAATAATGATGTTAAATGATGCTCCCTGTTTGAATCCAATATTATAAGGACAGACCAGTATGAAGTGAGATTTGGTTCTGGACACAGGAGAGAAGAATAATTTGTAGCATGTTATTACCTGAAGGTAAACTACAGACAGCAGAATTAATTCATTAGCATACACTTCAGTGTTTGTTTAAAATGTATGGATGAAAATAGCTTGTTTTACTCACTTGCTTTATGTTCCACAAGCGTTCTTGGGGCATTGTATGTATATATATATATACGTGTATGTGAGTGTGTATTTATGGGTTCTTTTTACCTTTCTAAGACTTTATTAACTGCTGGTGATAATTTGTATTCTCCACTTCTGTTCTTTTTAGTATATGATATTTCTTGCACTCAGAATCAGCTTAGCATCCAGTCATTCCCTGTTTTTCTGAAGGGTAGCCTTGTAGCACAAGTGCATCTTGCTGTTGTTCTTAAGGTGTATACCCCATAATCCTAGCATTCCTCTAGGGAAGTAGGTAGTTATTCATGTTGTAGCTGGGTCTCATTAATTATCTGCTGTTTGTGTAAAGCACTCTCCAATTATACCACCAGGTATCTGTTGTTAAGTTTCATTTATCTTTGCCTTCATTGTGCTTTTGCCATAGCAAATTCTCTGGTATCCCTGAGAGTTGCTATTTATTCCTTAGTATCTGATGTATTAAAGTCTCCTGACCTGATTTTTCCCAAACATCTTTGTATAAGTAATAGGTACTCCTCAATTTTCTGTTCTTCTCCCAGCTCGTGTGGCCATAGCTGCAAGTAAAGACAGACAGTGGGACATACAGTCTAATAGACTCTATTGTATTTTTGGTTTTTAGGGGAATCTTCATTTTCTCAAATATTAATTGCAATGCTGTCTTTATAAATCTTGTTCTCTTTTCCCACAGGATTTGCAAATAGAGCGAGAGAGGACCGTGTATAACATTTCTGGCGGCTGCACAGCCCTAGTGGTGGTGTATTTGTTGGGCAAGCTGTATGTGGCAAATGCTGGTGATAGCAGGTAAGTGTGTTGTCTCCACATCTAATCCTTCGCCCCAAACTTCCCAGGCCTGGTGTTACCGAGTTCCTTAAATGCAGAGAGCAACACAAGAAGATTCTGTTTCTTGGCTGAACACTTAGCACTTCTCACAGAAATGAATCTAAGTGCCAGGGATAACATTCCCGTATCTTGAGCAGTGCTTGCAGTCAAGGAAACTGGCAGCATTTCTGGTCCTGTAGCAGTTTCTGAAGATTTGATGTTTGCAGAGAAGTGGAAAGGTGCTAAAAAGCCCTTGAAACAGAAGAGGTGTTGGGTGTGTAGTAGGACTGTGTGTTAAACACTGACAAGGTGACAGCATCCAGAACAGCAGGTAGGGCTGCATTTGTTCCGTAGGAAGTCCCATGGCTCCTATTGCCAGGCTTAGTCTTGATAGGCCATTTGACTTACAGATTTTAATGTAATTGAAGGTAGTGATCAGTAAGCAAATAGCTGCTACTTTTACCTTAGGGGAAGAGGAGAGGGAGACAGGCTATCACAGTATAGGTTTTTTGCTTTGTCCTGTTCTAGCTCATGTACTTGTCCATTTCTCAGAACTGAATGCTGTTGCTCAGGAGCTATTGCTTTGTTTTATTTTGAAGTTGGGTGCTTGAAGACTCACGATAAGAAGCATTTTCTTTGTCTTCTGATGTTGCTAAAGATAGGAGCATACTGGAAATCTCTCACATTCTTTCCCCCTCTCTAGCTCTGCCCTTAACACCATTGGAGAAAGATAGTGAGGCTCTTCTTGCAAGACTTCAGACTCCACCTGTTTTTTTGGCAGTGCACTGCATAAATAGGGCAGGGAGAAGGGTTCCCACATGATATGAATGACTCTTGTATTCTGTTCATTAATAGCTGAATAATCTGAAACATCTGCAAAGGCATTGAACCATGTTGTCTTTAGGTGAAGACTGCTATGGTTATGAGTTTGCGTTTAAGGTTTGTGCACACGCAGTTCATGTTTGTAGTGTGTACACCCATGTATTTACAGAGACAGCACTCAAAAGTTAAGGGTTTTGTAGTTTAAACTTAATAGTTTTATTGCCTCTTGCTGCTTTACACTGTGTAGGAAGTCAGATAAATCCTCTGTGAATAAAATTCCTGTTCTTTTCATGTTGGTGATTGTTTTTAAGATGCTAAATTTGCTGTATGTGTTCCAAGTTGCTCACCCAGTTTCTAGGGACAAGTGACATAATTTAATCTCCTTTTTGTATCAAATACCAAGTGAGTCCTCACATGGTAGCTGCAAACATGTTTGAGATGATCACCTATCCTGTGAACAGAACTACTAACTGAACTACATTATATCTCTCCTGCCATTAAATTAGAAATGATCACATTTTCTTGTGCTATCACTCTAGAAGTACAGTTGAGTCTCTTTGAGTTGGCTAATTTGCTTTATTGTCTCTTAAAAATGTGCTGTGTAAAACTGGCCATGCAGGACTTAATTCTGAGTAGCCAAGAGCTTTGATCTTAAATGACTGGAACTGGCTGCTTCAAGTTCCCTCGGGATTCCTTCTGTGCTCCCTGAGAGCAGCCTCAGCTCCACTGCAGCCTCTGATACACAAGGGCAAGCCACTCTTGTTTGCGATGATCTGGAGTTAGTGCCAGAGTACTGCTGTAACTGTAGTTAAACATACTAAGTCTTCAAGAAGTTCAAGAAGATTTTTTGTTCATTAAGTCCACTCAGAACATCTCTTCAGAAAAAGAGGGAGAGCAGGAATCAAAAAGAAAACAGTCAGCAAGATTGGGTGTTGTTTGAACCAGGATTCAAATTCTCATTCCTAACATCTTTTTGGTAATAAGGTTCCTCCAGATTCAAAATAGTTTGGTTTTGTGCTTCCCAAATGGACCTCACAGAAAAATCTTTCTTGTGCTGAGGAGAATTATTCCATAATCTTTCATTTTCAGGTAAGTCCATTCCTAGACTTTCCTAGCTCAAAATAAATTTTAAAGCTTTAAATTGAAGATCAGTTGGTCTGGGTCTCTGTCCCACTAAATCCCATCTTTCCCACTTAGAGGGAAAAACCTAGCTGTTGCAAAACATCTGAGTTGCTGTCATGACAAAAAGGACATTTTAGGACTAGACAAGTCACTGTGAGGTTGTCTGCCCACAGCCAGGGTACACAGTGCATTCCTTTATTTTGAAGAGCCCAGTTATGTAGTCAAGAAATTTTACTTGCGTTAGTTGGAAAAATGTTTCTTTTTGCTGTCTCATGCCTTGTGTGGTAAACTTTGTGGTTTGTTCAGATAAAAGGGAGGGCAGAGAGAAATACAATAAGGAAACTACTTCAAGAAATGGTTATCTGCTCTCGAAAAGGGAGGGTTTGTTTTTTCACTCAAACAGGGGACTTCTCTTGTTGCTGTTGGAATTAGATGACGAAACCCTTAGTTCCTTTGAGTTCACCTACTCATTTGTGCCTTTCCCCTCTCCTCATTCTCCTCCTTCCCTCTCTGCTACTCCACTGGAAAAAGCCTGCAAATAAATCAAGTTTCCCACAGATAGAAATCTGTGAGAGAAGGTTTTATGTGGGAAATAAATATTTTGGGTTCATGCAAACCTCAGTTATACTGCCTCTCCCCAGGAGAAGGTTAGGTTTTATAATTTCAGGGAACTTCAAAACAGCATAAGCTTTTAAAGGTGGGTTTTGAACAGCTTCTGCTGTCAGAGGACCAAGGTATGTAGAACAAACTGTTACTATCACAATGAAACTAAGGAAACGTTAAGTGTGAGACTTGAATAATAATGTACTGTGTGGTGCCAGCTATACCTCAGACTCATGTCTGTGGTATTCAGTTTATCCACCAAAGCTTCTCAAATCTAATCATTTCATGCCACGTACCCTGGCAGTGTTGTATAGCAGCTGTCCTTTTGTAGTTGATGTGTAATTACATCATGAAAAGACTTTAATTACCATATTACTAAATTACCAGCCAGCAATCCTTTCAGGTTCAGCCCTAGCTCACTTCTGTATGGACTATTAGGCTTCTCCAAGCTGAACACTTTTGGTTGGTGTAAAAGGGAGGAAAAATTGTGCTAATTGTAGGTTTTGTTATGAACTATTATTTAGCTTGATGTTATGGCATCACTAATGTCAATGATATAATTAAACTTCTGCTAACGATGCAATCACAGTTCTGTAATAATTATATGTTAACTGCACATGATACCAGAACCCTACTAAAAATGAGGTGATGTATTCAGAGCCTGATAAAAACAACTTGGAAGGAACTGCTTTCATTCTCTAATGGCTTGTCTGCTCATTCTTGGACTCTGCCATAAATATACCTACTTGTACAGTCAAAATTCATATCTGAATATCTGCCAAAGCTTTTCTAATGTTTCTTTCTGTATCTTTCTTCTTTTCGGTGATTAGCATTGTCCATATAAGGTTATCTGATCAGGGACTGATAGTGCTATAGTCAGCTATAGTGCTTTTTTTGGTGAGCATCAAGGCACTGTGTTTTGCTTACCAGTATGACATATTTGCTATGAAAACTAGGCCATTGGAATAACTGCTTTTTATATCTTTTCTTTTTTAAATATTGAATAGTAAATCTTCTCTGGTCTTTGTTTTAGATAGTGTTGTTCTTTAATTCTAAATTCTATATTACTAAAGTGACTTTTACTTCTAAACTGCCATACCATGCCTTGTTAATCTCAGTTCTTTTTGGTTTTATGCTCTTTATTAGGATATTGTTTTATAGCTACTGATGAAGCAGTTGTAAAACAGGGATTTAATGTTTTTACTGATTACTGTCCAATTATTGTGTAGCCTCATGCAACATAACATTTGCCCAGTATCACTGCAATGACTGTAATGCAATATGATCATATTAACCATGTTTGGCACAAGTATTGTTCTGGCTTTTGTGTTGTCTGGAGCTGCTCAGAGACTGCAGGCACTTCCATTTTTTGCTGTGCTTGGAGCCACATAGGGAAGCTTTGTGCCTTTATCATGATACAAGAAGCAGAACATTGCAAGTTGATTTGACTTTTCCATACACCCTGAAACCCTCAATAAATCTGCAATGGGTTCTTGGGCTTTTCTTGATTTATTGCCATTACATGGTATCAAAGCAAAGAGCCTGATGTTTTGAAGGCTTCACAGACTTGCAGGGTCACCGAAGTTTTTGCTTTGCTTCATCAGCTCTTTTTTATCATGTTTTTGCCTTCTTGCTTTTGCTCCCCAGTACTTACATTTTCAGGGCATATTTGCACTTTATGCTCATGTCCAGAATAGATTTTCTCCTTCTTTTTGCAGGTGTAAAATTAATGCTAAAGCATTTTGGTTTATTAAATGGTAGGAGCTACTTGAATGAATATTTTTGTGTTGGTTTTGTGTAGGTGCAGGTGAAGTAACTTCATTGGTACTTCAAGAGACCAGGTGTGGGAGAGTGTGTTTATAACACAGTCTTCTCCCAGTGTAATAAAATAGCAAATTGAAAATTGAATTTGTTTACTGTTTCAGTTCTTTCTGGATTTGCTGCTTGTGTTGAAGCTTACTACATTTATACTTCCTCTTCTTTGTCATGGTGCTTGTCAGCTGCTTCCTTCATGGTTAGTTCTCACTATAGGAAGTCAGATTTGGAGCTTAATTTGCTTTTTTTGAAGTAAATGAGAGCAGCATGGAAACAGCCACACATCTGCTGACTGGCAGTGTAGCTTAAATTGAATTTCTGAGAAGTCAGAATTGATGATTCTGAGCCATTTTTGTGGTTCATGGTGTCTGACCTTTTCCTCGAGGCAGTCCAGCAGGGTCGTTTTTGCCAGAAGTGCTAACACTGTGTAAGGATGGAAACTAGAAAGTGTTCTAATATATTGGTATTGTAGAACTAGTTTACTTTAGTCTTTGGATTACTGTCTAGGAGGCTTTAGTTTTCATGGTTTTGTAACTACTCATTTCTATGATATAGTGTATGAAATGGTGTATATTTTCCCTGTTTTCTGTGAGTGGTCTGCCTAAGCCCTCTCTGTCTTC